GTCGAGAAATGTAAAAATTTTCAATTCCGATTTTCGGCCCATTACAATAACTTACCCTACGGGAAGTTAAAAAAACAAGTTAGTGTATATATAAGAGTGCAAAATTATGTGCCTTGCGCTAGCTACTGATGTAAGACCATATTTATGTAAGTTAGCTTCGTTGTCTATATATATATGTATGTGTCTGTATTGCATATGTATGTATATGTATATATATATATATATATATGTATATGTATATATATATATATATGTATGTATATATGTATATGTGTATGTGTATGTATGTATATATGTATATGTGTATGTGTATGTATGTATATATGTGTATATATACATATGTACATGTCCGTATGTATATGTTTATATATACGTATTATTCGTATGTATATATGTATATGTGCACGTGTTTGTACATGTATATCTTATATACATGTTTGTTTGTGTGTATATTTATGTATATATATTACGCTTTTGTATGTTTGTATATATTTCTTTTTACTTTTCATTTCTCTTGTTTATCTAGCTGTTAAGTATATTTGTTATTGTTATAATTATATTACTTATATCTATAGTTCTTTTTCCAATTTCTGTCAATTTTTCCCTAGTTTATATTAATTTTTCAATATTCATTCTGTAGATCCACTGATGATGACATAAAATACTATGTCGAAACGTTTGGAAAAATTAAAGATTAACTTCTAAATCTTAGCCTTTTATTTGATTTATGCCCTTGAAGAACTTACTCATATATATATATATATATATATATATATATATATATATATATATATATATATAAATATAAATATTTATTTATTTATTATATATATATGATAAAATTGATCTTGGGCATCCATCCAGTAATTACAAAGAGTTTTATTGAAAAAAAATATTTTTATTAAGAAAACATCCGTTTCGGATCCTGATTTGACCCATCTTCAGTGCATACAAATAAATTTAAAAGAAAAACACAAAACCACACGAAAATTGCACGAAAAAATTATGAAACACAAATTGATAAACGTCGAGTTATGATAAATTTTAAATAATTGTAAAATATAAATAAATAATATAATTTATTATAAAAAAAGCTTAATCAAAACGAAGCATGTTGTCAGCTTGGAGTTTATGTATATATATAAATATATATTTAGGTATATAGTATAGTAACAAATTCCAAAATGATGAGTATTTCTAAACGATTTGGTATATTAGTGATCATATATGGATTTATCGCACGGTACCTACCTTTTGTCCTTTTGTTGAGATTCTAATTATTTAAATAAATCAATTATTACCTTAATGACTAAAAAACACTGGTAAATGATTTTCAAATTTCATTATTTATTTATTTATTTATTTATTTATTTATTTATTTATACGCCAATCGGCTTTATACAGTTTTATAATATTGTTTCATTATAATTTACCATTTTAGCATTTACAAACAAGAATCATTGGACACCAAAAAATGTTTTGGCGAGGATAATAACACTGATTTTCCGAATATGATGGACCATAAGAAAATGTCACTAAACAACAGCGCCATGAAATCGCTAGATAGCTCGCAGGAAATACCTAGTACTAAATCAAATAATGAAATCAGCCAAGTTGAACCAAAGATGTTTGGAAATACCATAAATAAAAAGAAGTGCCTTAGTAATGTTAAGTCAAATTGCTCTGCATTCAATACCAAAAAGAAACATTCATCCACTTCCAAAAAACCAAGTAAGTCTATTAATCAAAACATAGAAAATCGAGTTCACAAAAATGCACGTCCTTCAAAGAAAGAACGATTGAGCAAAAAGCTGAAGGAACTTTTTGGAGACGACCAGGAAGCTGTAAAACGTGATAAAACTGGGATACAAGAAATAGATACAGAATTTAAAAATGACGGTTTCAAAAAAGTTAGATCGAGATATAAGCGAAAGTCGGAAGAATTTTTGAAATTTGGAAGCGTCAAAAAAAGTAAGAGTGATCCATCAGGGGAATCTATTATAAAAGCTCTAGCAGAGAATGAAAATATTATTTCAAACCAGGTAGTATTGCCTACAAATATCTTTGTCAAAAATGTGCGTGAAATAGATATTTTTAAAGATATTGATATTTTAAAGACGAATAATGACCTTGTACCCAATAAGAAAAAGAAAAATCAACGCAAGCGGGTTTTCAGCAGAATATTAATAATAACAATGAAATTGGTCAGCTCACAGCACAAGACAAAACTTAAATTTTACCTAATCAACATTCTGAAGAAGCGAAGTCCGATCATGGGATGGATAATGCTAATTATAATACTAATGAAGCCAGTAAGTTTGATACCGATGCCATTCAAATTTTAAATGTTTTCTCGGTCAGTCAAGGCGAGAATGTTGACACAAATAAAAAGACAAATTTAGAAACTTCAGAACCAGCCAATTTAACGCAGCCTATAGGCCTGAGTATGCCGATTTTAGACGAAACAATAGAGGGTCAAATTAGCCAAAATTCACCATTACCAAAAATTGTGAATGCTTTTTCATTAAGTGAAGATAATAGTATTACATCGAATGAAGAACAAGAAACGACTTCTAATTCAAAATTGGATATAAACAGGAATGAAGAAATTACTATTGACGCCCTGGAAGGAAAGACTTCCTCTAATTTATCTAGTGACAAGAATAGTAGAAGTGAACCAAAGAGACCAGTAACAATTAAAAGCTTGCAGGAAAATTGTCGACAGATCTTAAACTATGCCAAAGAAATAATAAAAAAATTGTCTGATAAAGAAATTGTGGAGGAAAATAGTATTATGGATAAAGTCGCTTGCGATAATCTACCTGCAGATAACTTTAGTAAGGATTTACTTATTTCTACTAGTCAAACACAGAAATCTCACGAAGATGATCAAACTTTACTCATCAGCAGTGATATACAACAAACAATAAATGGAGACGTTCCAAAGATTATATCAAAGTTTAATATTACTATAGAAAGAAGTGATAATGAAACGGGTGAAAGTTCTGCTAATATAACAATATCATTTGCAGAAAGCCAAAATGAAAGAGATACAGGCGCCAGTACTCCTAAGAAAAATGATTTGGAAAATAAAGTGAAAAATATGCCAGTGTCAGCTAGTTCCATAACGAATTTATCGGATCAAGAAGCATCAATTTCTTCGAAGGTAAATTTAGATTTACAAGTTAAAAATACCTATGTGATACCACCGCAAGCAGCTGCTGAAATATTACCAGAATTATTGCCTGTAGATAAAAGTACAGCTGAACAATCTTCAGGCTGGGTAGAAACAAAAAATAATTTAGACAATAAAGTTAAAAATATGCCAGTATTACTTAATTCCAAACCCAATGTATCGCTTAAATCGACGATTCCTTCGAAGGTTGATTCAAAATTACAAGTTAAAAATACCAGCGTGATACCAACGGATAATGCTGCTAAAATATTACCAAAACCGTTTCAAAATAATTTGCAAAATATATTATCCTCTGTAAACAAAAGTAGAGCTGAGCAATCTCTGACAATTTTTCCAATATGTCAGTGGAACTCAACACAGGAAAATGACAAGATAACAGAATCTTCCAAGCAATTTGAAATACAAGAAAAATCATCGGAGCCGTCAACTTTGCTATTGCCAGCAAGTCAAAATAATTTAGTTTCGCTTCTTTGCCCTCCGAATCCAATAACGATAACTCCATTAAATGACCAATACAAAATTATCAATTTACCAGTTTTTGTGAATCGAACGCAAATAATTCTACAGTCACCAACTGCTTTACAAAGTGAAACTTGTGAAAATTCATCTATTAACCCAGTTACTTTTTCACAGCCTTCCTCTAATTCTTATGCTTTTGGATTAGTACAATCTGGAATTTCACAGGAGAAAATTGTGCTAACCAAACCTTCTGAGCGTTTAGTCAATATCGCTCCTGACAATGCCCAACATAAACTACCTGACATACAAGTTAACGAAATTAGGCATTCTTCAGATTCACAAACAAGGATTTTCTCATCAAACAATCAGTTTATAAGGTCTTCTGATTCTGTAATATTGTATTCGAAACCATCCATTAGTTTCCAAAATGGACAGAAACGTACTTTACCACAGACTTTCACCAAATGTGCGATAGTTGACAACGAGCAGAACACACGAAAAAGCTTTTTCTCCTGCCATTATTTCAAATTCGGAGAATGTTAATAATGGATCCACAGCAAGTGTGTGCATAACTCAATTTCAGCATTTAGATCAGAACTGACATAACTTTAATATGGTACGTTCTGAGTTTAATACTTCACCTCAAACTGCGACAAATATTTATGACAAGAATGCTAATAGCGGTAGCGGCAACATGCCATTTGAACTTCCTGGTGATTTACCATTGGCAGAGACATTGAATGGACCTGGAAAATCAATATCATCAAAGTTTGATGCAATGAATCGTGCGAATTCTTCAAAAGTAGCTTCAAATTTTTCATCGAATGTATCTCCAATGAATATAACTAATAGCTTATCATCTCCTGGACAATCGCATATTTCGAGTGCCATGTCTCGATCTGAAAACACATCGAATGAGACAAACGCGAGTTTTCCAAAAATTCGAGTTAGATCATTGGAAAGTATGAATTCACAAGAAGCCGCTGCCGATATAAACTTACCATCGTAAAGAAATCGTCATCAAAACTCGATTAATGCCTCAATTGATGATGTCGATTTTCATATGTGTAAAGATGCAACCTTTTTATGTTTTGCCGTTGACATTTCTAATGATATTTTTTGTGCAGTAAATAATTATAATAATAGACTATCGTTTATCAATGCTAATGGTATCGATAAATTTCGTTATAGAATTAGTTTATTGGATTACGATGTCTTAAGATTAACAAGAAGAAAACGTTTATTCAATGCTTTAAATTATTTGTCGAAAAAATACGCTTATTCGAATGTTACTATACTAAGAAACAAAACTGTTTTTAATAAAATATTAGACATAGCAAAAAAAATGTCTGAGGCGAGCGATATAATTAATCACATTGAATCCTTATGTCGAACTTTGTTCGTTGAATTATTAAACACGCTTACAAATTCAAAAAATAGTGAAAGTTGTGAACCAGATATTTCTACAATGCAGCTTTCACCGACTAATTCCTTCACTCCCTCGCAAGAATTTTTTGAAAATTCAAAAAAACAGAAAACCAAACCTAAAGGTAAACCTAAGAAACCTAGAAGGCCTAGTCTTCGGGTAAATGATTCAGATAATACAACTGATTTGTCGCATCCAAACCAGCCTCTTTCCCAAAACAAATCATCTTCGGATATTCAATTGTTGAATCAAAATAATGCATCGAAAGAATTACCACATACATGGTCGAGGACAACAAATACAGGAAATAAAGCAAACTTTCAAATGATGTTTGAACAATCTCTGAATGGCAGACGAAATTTGCAACAAACTTCAGCCACAATCGAAAAAGCAGTTACTAATAATACTCTACCAGTTGACAACAGAAATAACTTTTTTCCAATGCCACGTATCAATTTCCAACAAATAGCCGAAAATGGTTCACTATTGAATCAATATATGGGGCAGAGTAATGTAACTAACGTTTGCTCAAACATAGCACCCGTAATATCGCAAAATCATTATTATAATAGACCATATGCTAATAATAGTTACCGCCCTGTCTCGTACTTGAATAATCCAATGCAATCCCAGCAGATACCATATTCTCGAGAACAAAGTAATTTGTTACAATGTAGTAATTTGGCTATGATACGGGCTCAAAATAATTGCAACAATATGAACAATTATAGACCATTTATGAACAGTTTCAATAATATGCACCAAGTTTCTTTTCAAAATTGTGCACCGGCGACTAGTGCTACAGCAGGGGTATCCACCAATAATCAAAATAGTATGTGCAATAACCTTTATCAAAGAAATCAGAATCTGGGTTGTCGTTCCGGTCAAGGTGTTCCAAATTACAATAACGTGCAAATGATTTCAAATCTTTTCCAAAACTTGCCGAATATAAGTTCTATAATTGAAAATAGTTCTGTACAAGACCCTACGCAAATGCAGTTTCAACCAGCTCCGGCCATGAACGATAGAATTGGAAATCCATCATTAAATTCTCAAACTTGCGGAGCACAAAATGCCTTCACTGGACACATTGATTCAACACAAAATTTCTTAATAAAAAGCCCTGCAGAAAATAGTGTTGTTGGAACTAATTCATCGTATGTAAACACTGCGAATGGGTCCATGATGCAAAATAATCAATCTGAGCAAGATGCACCAATAAATATTACAAATGATCATCCAGAAGTAGCAAAAACGATGGATAAACCATGCCAATCAGTTCATATGGTAGGTGAAAAGCTGTGTTCCAAAGAAGGGCAAACAACTGAAATAGTCAGTTCTATTATTCACTCCTTTCCAACAAAAATAGTAGATGCACCATGTCAAGAAAATCAAGCGGTCAAAAATGCAGAGGTGATCTCGAGCACTCAGGTTGCGCCAATAACTACTACTACGCCTTTGAATTTACTTGAAGTCCAAAACGAGAAAGCACAATTACCTAATGCTATTAGTTCTAGTGATACCATAAGCTGTGCATCATTAGAAGATCTTACCATATATGGAATTCCCCATGAATTGGAAGTAATTAGAACTAATAAGGAAAATGGGGCGTATGATCCTGATAATGAAAATTGGGAGCGCTTAGCTAAACCACAAACACATGATAACTTGAATTCTCTGTTAAAGAAATTATTGAAGCAAGATCCTGCGCCTATGAATTCTCACCAGGATACTGAGGTAAGTCCATCAATTTTTTAATTATTTGGGAAAAATGTAATTGTTATTAATATTTGTTATTTTTTTGTAGAAAGCTTCATCTGATGGAGATGATATTATAGATGGGCCACGGATAATTTATTGTACTATGTGCGACATGATGGCTAAAATCCAATGCACTATATGTAAAGCAGCATGTTACTGCTCAATCGCATGTCAAGTAAGTTTTTTTTCTTTTCAATTCTAAAACTTCATTATTTATTCTAACAATTCATCAATATTTCAATTTTCTTCAAGTGTTCCTGAAAATTCTTTGCATGGCTAATAGTAATTGATCCTTTTTTACCGCCGATTTACATGAAAACAATATTGATCTTAAACAAATGTTAAATAATTATTTATTCATTTTAGAAAAAACATTGGGCTTCTGGACATGCAGAGATTTGTGTAAAATTGACAAGAACTAGTCACAAAAAATGACAAGAAAAATTGTTTTTAAGTTTGTTAAAAAATGCGAATTATTTATGAAATGGTATTTGGAGTTTTTTTATATATATTAAAGATTTATTAAATGAAATTTCAAAATTTGATTATATGTTAAAGTTTAAACAAATATGAAATATGTTTATGAAATGAAATAATTTATATTCATTTATTATTTAAATAATATGTAATCACACACACATATATATGAATAGGTATATATATATATATATATATATATATATATATATATATATATATATATATATTTTGTATGATTCTGAATTTGATGTTGACATATGTATTAACAAAGTCTAATAATCGGGCATAACATCAATAAAAAACATGAATTTCTTTCAAAAATTTATTTTAAATCCATACGTTTCGGCTATAATCCTAGCCTTCATTCAGTGGAAACTAAAAATAAAATTAAAAACTAAAACAATTGAATTGGAGTGAAAAGAAAAAATAAAATAGTAATTAGTACTTACAATTAGTTGATCTTAGTGTTAAATTGGAAAATTTTAATAATCCATGGTATTAGGATATGGTAATGCACTACACTATGTATTATAAACATTAACTTGAAATTATACAATATTTTCACAAAAAACTGATTTGAAAAAATCACAAATGAATAGTGTGTTATTCGTAGACTGGTTGAAGATGTAATGGAGAAAGTCATTTTTTAAAAAATATTTTTACCAAGATTCTGCACATGTGTGGAACAAATTGTAAAACCTTTGCGCGAACGTTTTTATTGTTTTGTAAGAAATTTGGAAATGTTATCTAAATAGAAGAGATTTGTGTCGCACAGCGTGTTGAGTTCATTCCGTTTATTTATTGTCTTATTGTTATAAATAGTTAAAAAAGATCCCTCTATAATTCTTCGTTTAAATAAATTTTGTTCAAATTGTAGTATAGTCGGATTAGAAAAGTCCATATTGTGTTTTAAAGTGTATATATGGTCTGCAAGAACAGTTTTGAATTGTTTGGGGTTTTTTGAATTGTTTTTATGTTGTTGTAACCGTTTATTGAGGTTCTGGCTAGTTTCTCCTATGTAAATTAAATTGCAGTCTAAACAATTTATTTGATAGACGAGATTTCTGAGTCGTTCGATATTAAATGGGGTTTTTGTTTTTGTAAAAATAGTGCTAGTAGTTGTACTAAAATTGGTTACAAGTCGAAGTCCAGATTTATAAAAAAGTTTTTTCCAAGGAACATACAATTCTTTAATGTATGGCAAACATATTACACCAGAATGAGTTTCTGAGTCAGGTAAATCGTTATGTACTGTGCAATTGTCCATTTTATTCAAAAGGTACGTTCGTCTGTTACTAGTTACGGAATTTATAAGTTTTAGGGGATAAGAGTTATCTGTTAAAATTTTTGTAATTAATTTGATGTTGTTGTCCCAAAATGTTTTGTCCGATAGAAGTATTGCGTGGTCCGTTAGATTTATTATAGTACCTATTTTCATTTTGAGTGGATGATAAGAAAAGTAATTAAGGTAGCGTCCGGAATTAGTTGGTTTTTGATACCAATTTGTTATTAGTTTGTTATCTGTAGTACGTATAAGTTTTATGTCTAAGAAACTTATCGAGTTCATTGTCTCCAATTCCACTGTAAATTTTAGTTTTTTATTGACGTTATTAAATTGATCAATTATCATAGTGACATCATCACTAGGGATACAAGTGATAATGTCATCTACATAACGGTAATAAAAAATATGTTTATTGTAATTTTTAAAAATTGTATTTTCAAGGAGTTGTAAGGATATTTCTGCTAGAGATGGACTTGCTGGGGACCCCATTGGCGCCCCAAAAATTTGATAATAGAAAGAGCCATTGAATTCAAAATAAGTGTTAGAGACAATGAACTTGACAGTTTCCCTGAACCAGTGTAAAGATAAAGAAGTCAACGGGGAAATTTCATTCCATCGGATTGTTATTGCGTCTAAAATAAGGTCTAGGGGTACATTAGTAAAAAGTGAGACTACGTCTAAGCTAATTAGTTTGTAGTTTTCTGGTATATAATTTATCTTGTGTTTTAAGTCAGTAACGAGTTCATAAGAATTTTTTATGTAGTGTGGTGATTGTTTTGTTATTGTAGTCAAAATGTTACTTATGTATTTTGAGAGTTTATATAGGGGAGTATTAATGTCGGAAACTATTGGTCTAAAAGGTAAATTATTTTTGTGGACTTTGGGAAGGCCATAAAGTCTGGGAAAATATGGGTGTAAATTTTTCAGGTCAGAAGTTATCTCTTTTGTTAGTTGTTTGTTTGTTGTAAGTTTGTCTAAAAATTTATGGCACGTGCGGTTTATGTAGTCAGTTGGATCGTTATTGGTAATTTTGTAAGTATTAGTGTCGAGTAATAATTCAGATATTTTATTTATATAGTCTTGTTTATCTATGATAACAGTGATGTTGCCTTTATCCGCTTTAGTGACCACTATATCCGGATGATTTTTGAGAAATATTTTGCATGCTTTAAGGTCTCTAAGAATATTATCGTAAGTTGTATTTTTAGTATTAAAGGAATTAATATGTTGGATGAATTTTTTACAAAAAAGATTTCTCGTGTGAATTTTAGTTTTCGGATCTTTAGTTTGTTGTAATCCATATTCTAAATTACTAAGCAATTTAATAAAGTTAAAATTACGACAAGTAGGAGGAACTGAAAAATTGGGTCCTAAAGCGAATATGTACAATAGTCTGTCTGGTATGTCGATAGAAGAATAATTTTTTAACCATTTATCAATAATATTTTTATCTAAAATTATTTTGTTTTTTTCTAATTTATTTTGTAATAGTTTATTAAATTTGTTAGTATACGAAAGTTTCAAACTATTGAACTGTTTGTTGTTTCTAATTGTTTCTAAATATAAAAAGTTTTCAAAAATATCAATTTCTACTGTGCGACACAACCAATTTGTGATTTTTTCAATCGTGTTTCTAAAATTACAAATATTTTTGATACACCTGTTAATTGTGAGTGTAATGTATTTTAAACTAACTTTTTGTAAACTATTGTATTGGGAATTATTACTAATGAATTGGAATTTTTTAATGTCTATTTCGTAAAATTTAGGAACAATTTTTTCTTTGCGACATCTTAATAAGAACACTTGTTTGTTGAAATTTATGATAAGTTTAGAATTGAGCTTAGAAATTTTTTTAAATTGTGAAAAAATGTAAAACCCGTAATTGCGCCTAATAAATTCAAAAAATGACAGGTTGTGATCTGCAAAATGATTTTGCTTTCCTTGTAATCTCCAATTGTTGTGCTGTAGAGTGACCATTTTCCTATTATAATGACGTAGTGGTTCCATGGATAATAATTGTGTAGTTGGAATTTTAGTATTTTATCTTGTATAAAGTACTGAGAGTAATGAATCCTTTTTTCAGCCCAGGAAAAATATTTTGTATGATTCTGAATTTGATGTTGACATATGTATTAACAAAGTCTAATAATCGGGCATAACATCAATAAAAAACATGAATTTCTTTCAAAAATTTATTTAAAATCCATACGTTTCGGCTATAATCCTAGCCTTCATTCAGTGGAAACTAAAAATAAAATTAAAAACTAAAACAATTGAATTGGAGTGAAAAGAAAAAAATAAAATAGTAATTAGTACTTACAATTAGTTGATCTTAGTGTTAAATTGGAAAATTTTAATAATCCATGGTATTAGGATATGGTAATGCACTACACTATGTATTATAAACATTAACTTGAAATTATACAATATTTTCACAAAAAACTGATTTGAAAAAATCACAAATGAATAGTGTGTTATTCGTAGACTGGTTGAAGATGTAATGGAGAAAGTCATTTTTTAAAAAATATTTTTACCAAGATTCTGCACATGTGTGGAACAAATTGTAAAACCTTTGCGCGAACGTTTTTATTGTTTTGTAAGGAATTTGGAAATGTTATCTAAATAGAAGAGATTTGTGTCGCACAGCGTGTTGAGTTCATTCCGTTTATTTATTGTCTTATTGTTATAAATAGTTAAAAAAGATCCCTCTATAATTCTTCGTTTAAATAAATTTTGTTCAAATTGTAGTATAGTCGGATTAGAAAAGTCCATATTGTGTTTTAAAGTGTATATATGGTCTGCAAGAACAGTTTTGAATTGTTTGGGGTTTTTTGAATTGTTTTTATGTTGTTGTAACCGTTTATTGAGGTTCTGGCTAGTTTCTCCTATGTAAATTAAATTGCAGTCTAAACAATTTATTTGATAGACGAGATTTCTGAGTCGTTCGATATTAAATGGGGTTTTTGTTTTTGTAAAAATAGTGCTAGTAGTTGTACTAAAATTGGTTACAAGTCGAAGTCCAGATTTATAAAAAAGTTTTTTCCAAGGAACATACAATTCTTTAATGTATGGCAAACATATTACACCAGAATGAGTTTCTGAGTCAGGTAAATCGTTATGTACTGTGCAATTGTCCATTTTATTCAAAAGGTACGTTCGTCTGTTACTAGTAAACATTTTGGGACAACAACATCAAATTAATTACAAAAATTTTAACAGATAACTCTTATCCCCTAAAACTTATAAATTCCGTAACTAGTAACAGACGAACGTACCTTTTGAATAAAATGGACAATTGCACAGTACATAACGATTTACCTGACTCAGAAACTCATTCTGGTGTAATATGTTTGCCATACATTAAAGAATTGTATGTTCCTTGGAAAAAACTTTTTTATAAATCTGGA